TATTATGGCTTTGATCAGAATTGAGGCGAAAGATAAACTGAAAAGTTGGCTGTTTCATTTACAAAACATAGGCAGGGACCACCACCATGTGTCTTCATGCAATCTTCTTCGTTTTCTTGCGTTTTTAGTTTCGAATTAAAAAAAATACCGTATACTGGCTGGAATACTCTGCTGCGGTCGGTTCTTCAAAATGTCTAGCTTAATTATTTATATTTATCTCAATTAAAAAACTGAGGGGCAAACCTCGGTCTACAAAATTCCTCATTAGTGAAGGTTGAGGAATTTGATTTGATTAGATACAAGAAATTTAAAGAGTTTATGATTTTCCAGCTGAACCCTCAAACCTCCAGCAGCCTAGAGCGAATATTGCAAAACTCAAATCAGTGAGATCAAAAATATAATTGAGATTAATTCTTATTCATAAAATTGTTAAACCCCTGTGCACGATCTCCGACACTCGATAGGAAAAGTGTGGAGATCAAATACTCTTCTGTTCTAAGCATCACAGCACCCTAAAACAAAACATGCAAAGAATTGATAAATCCAAATCTTTTATTGATTATTAATTCAAAATCAGCATGGTGCCATCTTGTACATCAATTTCCAATATCCTGGAACAAAAAGTGAAACTTCAATAAATCAATAAATCAATAAATGTAATACTCTAACTAATTTTATTAGTCAGCGCTTTTGTACACTCTTTTCAAAATTTTCCAGACTCTTAAGCAAAAAATGCAATCACTAAATCGTTGAAGACAACAAATTTCTCAGGTCAAAATAGCTTCCCGTCCTACAGCCAAAAGGATATCCCGCAAAAAAAAATGAAATCACCTAAATTGCTATGACTGTTTCTCTCGAGAGTTTCTAAGTATGGGAATGAAATGTGTTAGAAGGAATAAAGACAAAACCAGCAAAAACAAATTGTCTAAGCTGTCGTGGCTTCGAGAAAGTTGCTGCCATAATAGTTAGCATTATGGCAACAACTTTCTCGCAACCTGAAATTTGCTATAAATTCCTTTAGAAACGCCT